TGGTGGGAGGGGGATTCTGGATGATTCATGATGATTCTGGAATCACCTGGAATCTACTTTTACATTTTTTTACAATCTTTTACATACAGATAGACACAGATTTTTATATATAGATTTAGCATGATTTAGCCTTACAGAATGGTTTTGTAGTTTTTTGCTGAAAACAACGAACAAACCTACAAAATGGTTTATAGTTTTTTTTGAAAAATGTCAATCCATAGTTCACAAATAGGTTTGGTTTTACAAAATGGTTTTGTTTTTTTGGGGGGAACTTTCACAGATGGGTTTATGTGCTGAACAACTTTACAAAATGGTTTTGATGTTTTTTCAGAAAAATGAAAAACACCTTTTTTTTCAAGGAATACTACTAAATGGTTTTATAAAATATTTTTGGATTTGGCCAGAGATTGGGTTTGGCTTTACAAAATGGTTTTGGTACTTTTCAAAAAACAACGAGTACATCTGCAAAATGGTTTGTAGTTTTTTTGGGAAAATGCATGAAAATGCTACCTCATTGGTTCAAAAATGATTGAGCCTTACAGAATGGGTTATAAAATTCCTGGAAATCTGAAGATATCTGAAGTTATTTCTACAAAATGGTTTGTAAAATAATTGCTACACAATGGTATTTGAAGTGTTTTTCCTCAAAATACATTTAAACAACCATTTTGTAGGGAGCCTTCAACCATTCTGTAGTGGGGTGGGGTTGGGTGCCTCTACGTTTTGGCTCCACCCAACCCCCCAAATTCCAAGTGGGATTGCTTTGCATTGTTTTATATTGTTTTGTGAGATGTGAGACAGTTGGGTGCAGCCAGTGCAGAGGTTTGCTGCCGGTAGTTTGGCTATGCGTAGCTATTCAGGAATGGAACGACAAAGTGCCGCAGCCACAAGGATAAAAAAGCAACCGCCAGATTCACATGGTTTCGTGCCTGGTGATGCATGGTGATGATTGGATATGATTGGTGAATATTGGTGATGCATGGTGATGCATGGGGATGCATGGTGATGCATGGTGATGGGAGCGGTGGATAGTGGATGATACTGGATGATAGATGATGATAGTGGATGATAGTGGTGGGAAGGGGATTCTGGATGATTCATGATGATTCTGGAATCATCTGGAATCTATTTTTACAATCTTTTACAATCTTTTACATACAGATAGAAACAGATTATATATATATAGATTTAGCATGATTTAGCCTTACAGAATGGTTTTGTAGTTTTTTGCTGAAAACAACGAACAAACCTACAAAATGGTTTATAGTTTTTTTGAAAAATGTCAATCCATAGTTCACAAATAGGTTTGGTTTTACAAAATGGTTTTGTTTTTTGGGGGGGAACTTTCACAGATGGGTTTATGTGCTGAACAACTTTACAAAATGGTTTTGATGTTTTTTCAGAAAAATGAAAAACACCTTTTTTTTTCAAGGAATACTACTAAATGGTTTTATATTTTTGGGGGGATTTGGCCAGGGATTGGGGCTTGCTTTACAAAATGGTTTTGGTACTTTTCAAAAAACAACGAATACATCTACAAAATGGTTTGTAGTTTTTTTGAGAAAATGCTACCTCATTGATTCAAAAATGATTGAGCCTTACAGAATGGTTTATAAAATTCCTGGAAATCTGAAGATATCTGAAGTTATTTCTACAAAATGGTTTGTAAAATAATTGCTACACCATGGTTTTTAAATATTTTTCATCAAAAAAACATTTAAAAACCATTTTGTAGGGAGTTTGGGGTTGGGTGCCTCTACGTTTTGGCTCCCCCAACCCAACCCCCCAAATTCCAAGGGGGATCCATTTCTGGGTTTCAAAGATATGTTTTACTTCCACCCTAATATGGAATGAATATGTGATACGTGAATGATCGAAGGAAGCTTAGAAGTCAAACTTCCGACAATATGGACAGATGAAAAGCAGAGATGGGAAGAGTCAGAGAAGAGAGTCAGAGAAGAGAAGAGAAGAAGAAAGAGAAAGTCTCAGAAGAAAGAAGATGCAGATGCACCAAAAGGTAGGAAAGTCGCGAAACACTGCGTTTTTCCAATGATTTGTGGCTCCGAGGGTCGAAAAATAGGCTCGCTAAAGCGGCGGGTGCGGAGCCAGCTGGCCAGATGAGAGATGAAAAATTGCACGCGGTTGTGCCGCGAAGCACATTTCGAAGTCAAAATGTACAAAGCACACCATTCTCGGACCACTTTTGGAAGTTGAGATGTCGAAAAAGTGCACGCGGTTGTGGCACGAAGCACATGTCCAAGTCAAAATGTACAAAACACACCATTGTCGGACCACTTTTGGAAGTTGAGATGTCGAAAAAGTGCACGCGGTTGTGGCACGAAGCACATTTCCAAGTCAAAATGCACAAGACACACACATTCTCGGACGATTTTTGGAAGTTGCGATGTCGAAAAAGTGCACGCTGTTGTGGCACGAAGCACATTTCCAAGTCAAAATGTACAAAGCACACCATTCTCGGACCACTTTTGGAAGTTGAGATGTCGAAAAAGTGCACGCGGTTGTGGCACGAAGCACATTTCCAAGTCAAAATGCACAAGACACACACATTCTCGGACGATTTTTGGAAGTTGCGATGTCGAAAATGTACAAAGCACACCATTGTCGGACCACTTTTGGAAGTTGCGATGTCGAAAAAGTGCACGCCATTGTGGCGCGAAGCACATTTCGAAGTGAAAATGTTAAAAACACCAGGGTTTCGGACCACTTTTGGACGTTAAGATGTCGTTCCGCGTGGCAGGTGCAAGGGATTGTGGATCTTGTCAAAAGTGAGCAAAGCGTGAGGGTTTTGTGGCATTTTCAACTGCAACCACCACTACACCACAACTACACCTTCACTACATTCCACTACACTCCGCTCCACTACACTACAATGCACTCAATTACACTCAAATACACACAATTACACTACACTACACTACACTCCACTGCACTACACTACATTACACTGAATGACACTGCACCACAGACAAGTAGACAGATAGACAGATAGATAGACAGATAGACAGATGAAAGAGAGAGAGAGAGAGATAGATAGATAGATAGGTAATTAGATGAAAGAGAGAGAGAGAGAGATAGATCGATAGATAGATAGATACATAGATAGATAGATAGAAAGATAGATAGGTAGGTAGGTAGATCGTCAGAGAAAGAGAGAGAGAGAGAGAGAGAGAGGAGACCTCAAGCACCTTTCGGTCCATCAGTGGCTTCGCTCTGCCATCTCTGATTCACAACAACCAACCTCTCACCAACCTCTCCTATAGGTTTCCTATTTTTGAAACTTCCGCCACCGCCTTGTGCGGTACTACTGGTAATTTAATAATGAATGATCGCAGGTGAGGAGCATATTTCTGGGATGCCTCAAGCAGCAGATTTAGCAACTCATAAGCCCGCTTTATGGGTCCTAAATTGTCTGCAATGTGACCGTACTTCCTGACCGCGATTTGTAGGATGACCCTCCAGGCGCCCAATCATTTCTAAGATTCCAAGGTTATGGATGATCGACTGGGAAAATTGGTTATAGGTGGAGACCTGAAATCTTGGTACTGTATCCAAAGATGGCAGCCGTGTTTTTCATTGTTTTCCCTCTGCCTAATGCCGAAATTGCCAGTTGCAGGTTTATGCATTGGATTTCAGTTGGATCCCTTTACCTGCCCAATTTGTTCCTGCAATATCTTCATGAAACCGAGCCCATGATGGGAAGACGAGCTGAATCCCTATGGCAATACCAGCAGCATCAATCACATCCCCCTAATATCACATGGAGGTTTACCCGACCATTCCTATGAGTATTTAACGCTAAATAGGCAATGTAAACCACCGCACTAAATGGAGGTTAAAGCCTCGTAAATTTCATGGAACTAAAGGATTTTACGCATGTTTGATGACACCGGAGGCCAATCGGAATAATGTGGCCAACCGAATAATTTTCACCGTTGGTGATATTTTGAATCGTGCCAGGCCACCGGGTACCTTTTTATCCTGTGCCCTCCGCCAGGGCAGCAACGCCACGGGCGTGGCGGCCGTCGAGGCCGCTCCGGCCGTGCTGCCGCCGGCGCCGCCCAAGCTGCCGCCATTGCAGAGGCGCTGCGCGACTTGACGAGGGGACGGGGGTTGGCCCCGCAGGACATGGCGCAAGGGGCATCCCAAGGATTCGACATACCGAGCCCTGACAAGGTGTACCAGAACGTGGCATCTTGTTCCCAGACGCAGGATTTCCCATGCGATGCGTTTTCGAAGCATAAAGGGGGTATCTGAGATCGAGTTGGACGACGGGCGGTTAGAGCAGATGCAGGCGCGAAATTGATGGAGAAGGTCCGTATCAATTTCACCGACGAAGTCTTCCTTGTTGGGAATTTAATGGATCTGACCAGCAAAAATCTCACAAAATTTGGACTTAGTTAGTTTTACCATCAAGACGGTGGGTGTACATATTTTGATCTAAGTAGCGGTTTCAAATACTGTTGAAGCAAAAAACTAACTTGTTGGAATTTGCTGAACTAGTTGATGTAGGCCGGGGACATTCGGGTGAGTCAACGCATCACGCATTTTCAACAATTTGGGTAGATTATGCCATAAACTCCTTATTTATATAAATAGCTTTAAATTGATGAATGATTAATGTGCGTGTGTGAATATATTCGAGTACATTCGAATTTATCCAGAAAAGAATGAAAACGATATGGTTCATTATCATTTATGATTTAATCATCACAAAATTGGAGTTAAGCATAAAACATTTGGATTTGATTTGATAGTCCGAAAGTGGGATTTGAACAATGAATGATGGATTTTGTATGTGGCAGCAAATGTGTTTGTATGAAATTTGGCGGCAGACAAATTCCATGATTCATCAGATTTATCAGCATGTGCTGATTCAAATTGCAGTTTTGGGGCATACCTTTGTTCTCAGACACGCGAACAGCTGATTGGTGATGTCAAATAATTGTGATACAGTATGTGTCCCACCCTCGTGGCGGGATTTGTTCGCACGTTTCTACCATTGAAGTTGGAGGCGCCTATTTCCAAAAAGGTTGGTTTCAAATCCTGGTTTTGCTGGTTGGATCCCAGCTTTGGATGACTTGGGTGTGTTCGACAATGGGGTATGCCCCAAAATCGCATTCTTTGGGGCAAATGAAGTGATGAGTGTTGGATTTCGTAGTGGCCGACAAATTTTCCATGGACAAATACCTAGTTAGTCCTAGTGTGCTTATCACAACCCATGAACACAACACCCAGGATCCACGCGAAGAGCTCAACAAGAACAAGACTTGTAATTTTCCACGGCGACGTCACTTGGATCCACCTGGCTGCTGGTTTCCCAAATGGAGGGCTTTGAGGGCGTGACAACGACCTTGACACCCCTTAAATTCAACATGAACCCTAAAAAATGGTGTTTGGTAGATGATTCTCCCATGGAAGATAGAAAGAAAGATAGATAGATAGATAGAGAGAGATAGAGAGAAAGATTGATAGCTGTGCATGTCTGGTTTGAATGCGATACCTGGCTGAATTGGAATCACCTCACGCCTCGACGTCAATTCTTGGATCAGTGGCACCTAAGGGGCATTTGTCCGAAATTCAGGCTGGTGAGTTATCATCCAGCTCAATGATGGATCTAGATTGGGATGCAACCATCAGTGGTGGGGGCGTTATCAAAAAATATCAAGAATATGTGGGCTTTAACATTGACCTGTACAGAATGGATATCGCTCCATACTGGCAAATTGGATCCCAATAAGCCCAATAAACTCTGATAAACAACCCCCGAAGAATGTGGGTAAGATGGAACCCACCTGTTTTTGGCAGGAACCATATCAGAACTGCTGGGGAGTTTAGATGTCTGACAAAAACTCAGGAGTTAAAAACGCCAATGTGACTCGGATGATGTGCATGTTAGTTGCTTTCCACACTGCCACTTTCACTCATTTTGGCTTGGAAAATTACCCCAGCAAAAGAATTGTCAGATTGATGTTGTTCCGCTTGCGCACTAATTTGGTCATGTGATGCCCAGAGATTGAAAGTTCTGCCCGGTGAACTTTGGTTACTTTTCAAGAAGGCCAGAGGCGTTTAGTCCATTGCCTGTGCCTGAAGCGAGGTTACACCGGTTAGAGGTACCATTTGGGGGAGATATTCCCTGTATATTTGGGGGCGCATCGACCTTACATATGGTATCTCCACCTCGGCTTCGTCAGCTGCTGGGTTGTGCCCTAGTTGTGTTGCTTGGTATTGTTTCACCCCAAAGAAGCTAGTTGTAAACCCAAGTTGGCCAACGAACTAAGTTAAATGTCCAGGTCTCATAGTTTAATAATTGTAAACTTCCATAAACCATACCCACAATTTGGATTTATGAAATGGACATGCCGGCATGCCCCTTGTTGAGAACCTTCCACAGCCTTTTTTCTCAGTTTGCAAGTTGTCCCACGTGGACATCCTCGGTCCCGGGGGCACCGGATGTCCCCAAGACGCCTGGGTGAACGCCATGGTCCGTGCGGATCCCGATCCTCACAAGGCCAGTTGGGCAACCCAAGGGCCGCCATAGACCTACCATGACCGGGGATGGTTCATTTCTTATACGACCCACAAAAATGATGAAGCATGAACCCAGTAGTGTATTTACCACATTAAACCTAGCAAACCAGCGAAGAAATGATCCTTTTTTCCGCGGTATTTCGATGGTGCCTGGTGGCAGGTGATCATGAACGTAGGCTGCAACAAGGGCCACGACTCCATCGCCTGGCTCCAGCGCTTTGATCAACGTGGCTTTTGGAACCTCAGGAGGGCACTGCTTTTCCACGGTTGGACCCCAAAAATGAGACCAGATCCTAGAAATTACTCTTTGGTAAACTAACGAGCTATGGATAATCATCATTTTAGTGGGTAAATCCATTATATAAGCGAGCAATTTTCCATAGCCATGTAAAATTACCAGAGAGTATCACCTTTTCATGGGAAAAAAGGGACGGATAAAATTTGATGAAGATTGATGGCACCCATGTTCATACACACCCACTTGGCAATTGCTTCATGTTTGTGGGACGACACGTCAGTTGCAGGAAACTTAGAATCCACTGATCGGGGGATGATCCTCGCGAGGCGGAATTGATCCCATTGGTGAAAGCTGTGAATTGTTTTTTGTGGGTGGAATTATCCCTCGTTTGAGGACCTAGTAATCAACCCAATTTTATTCTCCATTGAAGCTAGGTATGGATCTGAATTTCCCTTTTCCATTTGCTGTGTCCCAATTGTTTTTTCATCTCAGTGGCGGGTTGCCACGATACTTAGTTACTCGCAAGCTCACAAGGGCTTCATTTTAGATGCTAGTTAGCAAGCGGAATGATCCCAAAGTGGGTTTATTTCTGATTTGGTGGAAGCAGTGTATCTCTTGATGAATCTTGATGCTGATGGAGGAATGGTCCTACTGACCACTCTTTTGTCAAAAATGTGTGCAAAAGGTTTATCGCGGACGTATTACCAAGGAAACTTTGCAGGAAACTATAAATCATGGTCCTGGTGGCCAAACACTATGGCTTCAACTGTCCATGTTTCCTACAAATTCATGTTCAAGTCATTTTCAGATGAAACATGGACACCATATTCTCAGATGACTTAAAATATGGATTTGACCATGGACCGGAGCTGATCTTCCCAGATGACTTCTGGCAGGAAATGGACCAGCCTGATGGCAGACCACAGGGCCGTCTGCCCTCTCGACACGCAGATCCGAAAGCCACCCCCGCGGCTCGGCGGGTCAAGCCGGCAAGCCGCCAAGCCAATGCCGTAAACATAAAAAGAGGAGTAACCATAGCCTTTAGATAGTGGTACGACGGTTTATGCGTACATACATTACGCAGCCGCTTTCAGTCTCAAGGCCAAATCGGCCCAAGGGTGATGCCGGGTCCATGGGTGCAGGGCTCATTGGACCCCGGCTGGATCGCCAGCCAGGTATACCTCCCGGGCTCCATGGTGGAATTCTTCGCTTATGTTGAGGGAGCCAAGGCTCAGGGACGGGTGTTGGCCACCGTGGAGGGCACCCGTAGAGGGGTCCGGGGGGAACCTGGCTGGACATCCGCGTACGCTGCGTGGAAATGCAGGGCCTGCTGCATTGGTTTGGCAGGGGACCTGGGCGCGATAGGAAAGGAAGTTTTATGCTTCATCTCTGCCATGGTGAGAATCCAATTGCAGGCAAGTGGAAAAAGGAAAGGTGTCCGAGCTGCACACTGACACCTTGAGGGTAATTGAACTGAAGGATCTGGGAGACCGAATTGGTGACTGGTGGAGATCGGAGCCCGCGACCGGGGCTTTTGATTCCTTTTAGGAGACACATGATGAAGAGCTTGAGGGAGGAGGCCACGGCCGGACCTTTGAGAATGACAACTGGCAGGAGGCCAAACGAAGTCGTCAGTGAAGCGGGTGAACTTTGTGTGAGGCATGAGAAGAGGCTCTCCCCGACTCAGGGAACTGCCTACAGTGTTAAGCACCGAAGGCTGAAGGAAGGGGCTATCAAGAGCAGGCAGGACGAGCGTGAGCGTGAGAAGAACGCATCGTCTGAGCTCCGTCATACAACTACCCGGCACGCGCGAGCACAGTCTCGTACCCTGGGAAATGGCGAGAGTGAAGACGACCTTTCCTCAGAGAAAGGTGCAGCACCAAGGAGCCGGAGGACCCGAGGAGTCAGCCGCGCTGGGAAGCATGTGGCTTCGATCCGTGGTGGTTCCGTGGAGAGACCGCGAAGGCGAAGGTCAGAAAGTAGGGTCAGATCTCCCCCCCTTTCAGGCTCCATGCCGAGGAGGCGTGGACGTGCTGTGCCTGCCCGCTCATCAGGCAGGGCAAAGGGGACGTATCAACCGCACCGTCGAAGTGACACAAGGTCACCGCTGGTGAGGCCATGGCCAAGGCCGTTGGTTAACCCGCCTCAAGAAGGGGACGGAATTCCCAGCTCGGAAGGAAGCACGCACGGGGTGCAGTTGACTGAAGCAGATGATTGGTTTGAGAAAGTCCTAGAAAGCCTCGGTGTTTCTGAGGAGGACGTGGTCGTGAAGGAGCCGGACCAAAATAGGGGAGGAGCTCATCGAGCCCGTAGAGACTGGCAATCACAGGTGAGAGCAATCCTCACCAAGACCTGCTCCTCCGGGAGTGTAGGACGCCACCTTCAAGAGCTGATGCTCTCGTTGGAGGGACCCATGGGAGACTTCATGCGCCTCTATTGCTCAACGCAGCCGCCTCCGGCCGTGAGGCCTTTCCTGAACAGGCATGGTGATGTCCTCCCGATACACCCTGAGTCCATCACAACAGCTGGTCACATCAGAGAACCTCCAATGGATGAGAGCAACAGTGATGGTGTTGAACTTCCTATATTGCCGGGGCAGGCTGAAGCCTACGGGCGTGCCGATGGCTCCCTCGCTTTGCGAAAACCAGAAGGAAGTTATTCGGAACCTTGGCAAGAAGAGCAACGCCGGCGTGCATGAGAGATACCGTCTGCCGACGCTTGAGGAGGTCAAGATGCTCAAGGATGAGAATGTTGAAGAATTGGGGGCTCCGGTGAGAGTTCCGAAGGACCTGCACGCTACGAAAATAATCGCAGCCGTCGCAGCCTGGTCTGACTGGGGGCATACCAGCTCGGTCTCCATTGCTAGCCTTTTGGACGGTAGGTTGCTGGAAGCGGTTCGCGACCCTACGGGGTGCACCGTGGCTGCCTGACGACCTGCGGCCTCAGAGACGCACGAGGTGCGATGTGAAGGCCTCGGATGAAATCTGGTATAAGGTATGTCAGGCGGCTCATCAACAAGGGTTGATGAGGATTGTGGCCGACAGCCGGCTGCACAAAGACCGCGAAGGGCACTATATTACCATTGGCGCAAGAGGGGTTGCGGCGATGGCTGCTCGAGGCGATCGAAAGGAGGTACAGCAATTCATCCTAACGATGGAAACTGTCAACGAGCACTCGGACCGGTTGCCAGGTGAGCGAGACGCTTTCCCTTACGGGGGTCTGTTGGCTGGCATATTGGTGAAGGACACTGGCGAAGTCGTCATGGACCTTAACCAGCTCACCTGCGTGCCCTCAGTCTCAAAAAAGAGTAAATTTACTAATCCTAAAATTTACGTAAATTTCTCCATTTAGGTAAAAATTTATGTGTGTTTTTACATAAAAGTAAAGTAAATATATAATTAGGCAATACTATTTGGGTTATAAGTAAATATATTTAGGTGAAATGTAAATGACTTTTACATTATAAGTATAAGTAAATGTCTTTACATTGTAAGTAAATGTAAGTAAATATGTGTGATGTTTTTGAATTCTTAAAGAACCGTGGAGGGAATAATATAATTTTAACATATTTTAACTGATGTGAACTCATTCCATTGTTGGAATGTATTGTTAGAACTGGAAATGTTGTAACAATAACATGAAACACGAGTCTTTTGTGCATTTACTTTTGTCATTTTTGATATTACTTGCGTGTCAGAGAAAATGCAGTTACTTGTGCTCAAAACTGGAGATATTTTATTTGCAAGCAAGATTTTGGCAGATTGTGTCTTCTTTACCTGGCATGATTTGCAAACCATCAGAGACCAAAGCTCTTAACCAAAGCTGTTTCCAAATCCATTTTTGTCAATACTATCCAGATAATCTGGAAAAGTACCTAAACAATGTTTGGAATGTAAGTATTTTTTGATATGAAACCTTCAATAATATCTAGTTGTGAAACCGTAGAAATATTAACTGTTAAAATTTACTTTACTTCGAGTTATCCCCACCATGACATCTGTACGTTTTGTTACTGGCAAATCTTCTGGCATTCTATCTGACATATCTTCTGGCATTTTATTTGGCATATCTTCTGGCATTCTATCTGGCAAATCTTCTGGCGTTCTATCTCGCACACATTCTGGCACTTTATCTGGCATACCTTCTGGCATTCTATCTGACATTCTATCTGGCATACCTTCTGGCATTCTATCTGGCATATCTTCTGGCATTCTATCTGGCAAACATTCTGGCATTTTATCTGGCATATCTTCTGGCATTCTTTCTGACATTCTATCTGGCGTTCTATCTGGCATATCTTCTGGCATTCTATCTGGCCGTTGAGGTCCAGCGGTGCTCACTGAGCTCGGAGCGTCCCAGGTTGAGGTCCAGCGGTGCTCACTGAGCTCGGAGGGTCCCAGGTTGAGGTCCAGCGGTGCTCACTGAGCTCGGAAGGTCCCAGGTTGAGGTCCAGCGGTGCTCACTGAGCTCGGAGGGTCCCAGGTTGAGGTCCAGCGGTGCTCACTGAGCTCGGAAGGTCCCAGGTTGAGGCCCAGCAGTGCCCACTGCGTGCGGAAGTTGCCGAAGTGGACCTGGAAGTAGATGCAGAGGTGGTGGAGGAGCAGGAGGAGGAGGAGAAGGAGGAGAAGGAGAAGAAGGAGAACAACTCTGATAAAATCTAACAACCCTCACCTGGCAGGCGGGGAAAAATCTATGCACTCTACCAGTAGTACCGCACAAGGCGGCGGCGGAAGTTTCAAAAATAGGAAACCTATAGGAGAGCTTGGTTGTTGTGAATCCGCGATAGCAGAGCGAAGCCACTGATGGACTGAAAGGTGGTTGAGGTCTCCTCTCTTTCTCTTTATTTCTCTCTTTTTCTCTCTGTTTCTCTATCTTGCTCTGATTATCTACCGACCTACCTACTGATCTATCTATCTACCTATCTATCTATCCTTCTATCTATCTATCTATCTATCTATCTACCTATCTACCTATCTACCTATCTACCTATCTACCTATCTACCTATCTACCTATCTACCTATCTACCTATCTACCTATCTATCTATCTATCTATCTATCTATCTTATCTATCTTATCTATCTTATCTATCTTATCTATCTTATCTATCTTATCTATCTTATCTATCTTATCTATCTATCTTATCTATCTATTTATCTATCCATCCATCTATCTATCTATCTATCCATCTATCTATCTATCTATCTACCTATCTATCTATCTACCTACCTATGCGAATGGGATACAGGCTACAGTGTACATTACATAATCCCATATATGTAGGTATCTTAACTCTCCAGCCACAAGGGGTCTATCCAATGACGCCCCTTTGGCTCAAGTCACCAATACTGCAGGAAACCAGGAAAAGGAACGCCATGCCGAAGCTGCTATCTGAACGCCATTAACGAGAACACGGACATCTTACTGAGATATACATATCGGAGGCAATCTCCGATTCACAGGTTGGTCTCCATCGGAGCCTACGAGCGGGTAGCCGCGGACCTTGCGGAAAATGACAGAAGAGGACAGTAGCGATAACGCATTTTCCTTTGCTGGACATGCCGCCGCACCAGCTGCCGGCACGCAGTCAAATTCTTCACAGAGTTTCGATACTGGTGGAAGTGAAACCTCAGAACTGAGACCGAGCTTACCCAGACGATCTCTGGTTGCTCCGAGGGGGAGACAATTACCGACAATGCAAGCAATCGAAGATAGGGACAGTACACCTGGAAAAAGGAGATCATCTGCCCGACAATCGTCACCTCCGACGACTCCAAGGACTAAGGCGAAGCCTACGTCGTCGAATCCGCCTTCACCAATTCAGGACGCTACACCATCAGGGGTGGGATCTTATCAGCAAGTGAGTGCCCCATCAAGTGGTAGCGACATCTTCACTGCCTATCAGAGTGAATTAGCAGAGTACAAGACATCACTAGACAGGGCTACTGAAGAGGAATCCGTACTTCAAGCGCGATTGATTGAGATGGCCGCCTATGCCAATCAGCAATTCAATTTTCTGGAGAACACCACTCATCAAGAAATGACATCGATGGCTCAACAACTTCAGATCCTGAACTCCGAACTACTTGCTGCACAACAAGAAGACGAAGGTGCAACCTACAGGATCGAAGGGTTGGAGAGGTATCGAACCATGTCGAATGAAGTAGCATCTCATCTGGAATATAGATATTCACAACCGAGATCAGAATTCAATGAACAGATGGGACAAGCGAATGCAATTATGGTACATGTGGGCACAGATGCAAATGCTCACATCAATCAACTCAGACTGGAACTGGAAAACGCAGAGATGAACGCGAAGCAAGAAGCTCTGGCAGTTGGCTTTGCCAATGATCGAACATGTGCACTTCACGTCGAGATGCTCGAGGTTGCTAACCAGAACCAGACGATGAAACACAACATGTCATTGAGTATCAGACGACTGGAGACAGAGCTCGATGCCGCTGACACGAGGAGAGAGGAGATCATGAGAGAACTCGGTAGTGACCTAAGATCTGAACATGAAAGATATGCCGAATGTGAGCACCATTTAGCTCTGGAGGAAACTCAGCTTCAATTGCAGTTGGTTCGCAATGAAGGACTACAATCACAATTGATGACAACTGAGAGTAGACTTTCTGAAGAAACATCCTCTGAAGCAAGTGGTATGCGAGACATAAGGACCATGGGACTACGTTCTGAATTACACATGAAGCAAAGCCTATTGGATCGCATGCAACAACAACTGACTGAATCGAAGAACCAATATCATGAGCTTTCGTGCCAACAAGCCAGACAATCGTCTCTAAGTGACGCACCATCGCATGCGCTATACTATGAGATGTACAACAAGCACGGCGTGATCATGATATTATCAAGAAATCCAAAGAGGAAGTTGATGTTCTGTATAGAAGAGCCAAAGCTGAAATCATCGATAATGAGAACCTGATCAAGACTTACCACGATTCAAACGAATCCCTTGGGAAGAAATATCAGGATGCTTTGGAAAAGATTGACTTCATGAGTACTCATCCGAAGACTTCTAGCAACATCTTTGACAATTTACACAATGAAATCAGTGACAGAGACGAGATGGTTGCTCGACTCAACACCGAAGTTGAAGCTCAGAGGGATTCTCTTGATCGTGCACGAAGAGATGCAGGTCGCTCCATCAGCATGTTGAACGACAGACGCCTTGTGATCAAAGGGGCAACTGACTATTCTATTCCTGAAAGTCACCTGACCGAGATGCACCATCTTGCTAGTGAGCGCTTCGCTGAGGTGGAAGAGATGTCAAGCACCATCGCTGCACTGAGGCTCGAAAATCAAGCCGCTTCGTCTTCAATGCAAAACATGCAAACTGTATTACATGGAACCTCCAGTAGTGCATTGCCTCGAAGTGAATGTGAAGAGAAGTGTGCCAAGTTGAGAGCCGAATTGGAAGAGATGAAACGAGAGAAGAATGAAGAGGTTCGAACTCTTCGAGACGAGTTGAAGAAAATGGAAGAACGAAAGGACCACTACAAGAACAACTTCTCTCAAGCTGAAGATCGTGCTAATGATGAAGAGCAAGAGTATCGTGCAGAAGCCGAAGCCTTCGAGAAGCTCAGGAATGAGTACAACACCAATGTCGTAGAGTTGGAGAACCTTGAAAAGGACAAGGCGAGGTCATCTGTATCCCAGAGGGAGGCGGAGAAGATCACTCTCCAACCATGGCCAAAGACCACTGAACTTTCGTCTTGGAAGGGAAGTGTCATTCATGAAGTTTGCGTTGCTAGCGGAGATCGCAACTATAGTGATTGGAAAGCATGGTTGGCTCCTTGTCTTGCAGATCAAGCAGACATGGATGCATTAGCCTTGGCCCCTGATGTAAGATTTCAATCCATCGACGCCAAACTTTCCAATGCTTTGAGAAAGGTCATTGAAACTGCCGGGGACAAATCCATGCAAGTGAAGTATGAAATGTCCATGAAGAATCAGATGTATGGGAAGAGTGGGGACTTCATCAAGGGGCGAGAACTATTCGCGATGATTCTGGTAAGTTTCAAGTCGCCAGACCACACTGAAGTTCTTTACAATTCCCATCACCTATATGTATTCAATTACTATGGAGATGACCAGCTTGAAGCTTTCTACAACAAATGGCTTGACATAGTGTACAACATGAAACAAGATGATCGTCCATCTCTCAACTCACTACGTGACACCTTGTTCCGGAAGATTGAACATTCAAAACTTATGCATTTTGACATCAGCCGATATCGAACCTTCGATGAAGGGCATCCTCAAAAAACCTACGATTTCCTGATCACCATGATCAAAGGTTACATCGCACGAGGGAAACAAGAACGACTGTTAAAGGAAAGAGAGCGTGCAGTCAAAATCTCATTGACCTCTACCAAGACAACACCAGCCTTGGAAGATGCAGAAAAGCCTACCGCTCCCATCAAGACCAAGAAGGAGAACGTGGCAGCAGCCTCATCTACTGATGATCCACCCAAAGGAAGACCTAAAGCAAAGGCGAAGAGTGAAGCTGCCTCAGTCCTTCCAACGCCTTCTCCAAAGTCACATGCCGACAAGAACAACAAGAAAGGCAAAGGTGGGAAGGGAAGATCATCTTCACCCGTTGACAAGAAGAAGATTTTCTGCAATTACTTCTTCAACAAAGGTGGGTGTAATAAAGGTGACAAATGTCTTTACAGTCATTCCCAGAGAGTCTATGATGCCAAGATGAAAGACAAGAAGGGAAGAAGCAGAAGTAGAGATTCATCAAGAGGGAAGAGTAAGGGAAGTTCTTCTTCAGCTGGACCCAAGAAGAGAACCTGTTGGCAATGACAGAAAGGTACCTGCACATTTGGAAGCAAGTGTAAGTTCCTACATGCAGATCAGTCGCCGTCGGCATCTTCGGAAAGAACCAGCAAGAAGACACCAAAGAAGAAGGCAACTCCCATTACTATTGATTCATTCTTTGACAGCGACAATGAAGATGCAATGGATTATTCCTCACCGAGGGTAGCCAGCGCAAAGAAGTCTTCTGATATTCGCAAAATCTCATTTGATCTGGAACCCGAGGTGCACAAGATTTTCATTGAGAACTACCAGGAGGGAATGCCCAAGCATATCTATCGTGACCCCAACAAGCCCTACGTCTTCAGAAAGATCGATGATCTGGTTGATGATCAATCCAAATCTGACAATATTCTTGGTTCAGTTCGGGCAAGGGCTAGAGCGATCATTATGGGCAATTGTGGACTCCGTTGTGGTGTGGATGAAGTGAGAATCATCATCGGCCCGAAGTTCGACATGCTAGTCAAGTTGGATAATGACAACGAAGATCTGATCTTTACTGAAGAACTTGTTGAACACGAAGCAGAAAGGTCCCTCAAGAAGTCCAAGAATCTAATGTGCATTTCACTACCAGTACAAGCCAAAGACCGCAGATTCATCCTCGATTCTGGAAGCGGGCATGACCTGATATCCGCACGAAAAGCTGAAAGGATGAACTTGAAGAAACGAACTTGTGATCCCATCATGTTCCACACAGCAAATGGTTCGACTGCTACACAAACAGAAGCTAAAATTGACCTGGGAATTTTTGACATGACGTCTCAAGCCTATGTACTAGATGACACTCCTTCTGTGATGTCTCTTGGAAAACGATGCATGGAAGAAGGATACTCCTTCGTATGGCCTTCTGGCAAGATGCCGTTCATGATTACAAAGAATGGGGAACGCATCGACTTGACAATCCATGACAATATCCCTTACATTGATCTTGGAACGTATGAATGTACTCCATACGAATGTTGTCAAACATCGAAGATTCACGATCTACTTGAACTTTCTCAAGATGGTTTCGACAACTTTGATGACATAGACAGCGTAGGCCGACCATCCCGAAGAGTTCATCTCGATGGAGAGAGTGGTCTTGAGATGCTGAATGAAGATCAGGATGATTCCCGACATGTCAAGAAGCTCAAGAAGAAGAAGAAAGGAAGAGCAGCGAACCGACGGAAACGAATGGCATCTCCTGGAGAAGAAGCCCCACCTGAAGATGGCGAGTATGAACCAGGAACACCTTATGATGGTCCTCCACCTGGTGATGAAACAGATTTCGAAGATGAAGGACATGGTGCTCCTGAAGATGTCGCAGAAGGTGATGAAGATGACATCGAAGTCGATGTTGTCGAGGGTGAATCCAGGGTAGCCAAAAGAGGAACACTCAAGAGAGAAGCAAACAGTTTGAATCACAAGTTGACCCACAGGTACAAGAACCCATACTGTGATTCATGCATTCGCGCAAAGATGAAACACTTCAAGACTCGTCGTGGTGCATACAAAAGGGAACTCAAGAAGTTTGGCGACCTCATTACCTTTGATGCCGTTGACACCTCCAAAGTTCATGATGACGTGTTGGTTCTTGAGAAGGAAGTGTTGGTCGTCAGAGACTGTTTTACCGGGATAATTGGTGCTTATCCATCTGACAGGATGACCAAAGACGATGTGGTTAGAGCAGTGAAGCAGTTCATCGGCGCCAAGAAGGTCAGACAGGCTTATTCTGATCATGCTCCACAATTCATTGAAGCCATGAATGAAATGAAGATTCCAATTGATCATTCATTGCCCGGAAGACCTCAAACCAACTCTATTGCCGAGAGAATAAATCAATTCATCCTGACAGCCACTTCTACATGCCTGTTGGAAGCCGGATTACCACCATGTTTCTGGAGAACGGCAATCCTTTGTGTATGTCATCTACTCAATGTGGAACCCAACGATGATGAGCTTAGTGCTTGGTGTAAACTCCACGGATCTGACTTTGCTGGCAAACTTATTCCCTATGGTGCTCGTGTGAACTATAAACCTCCGAAGACCAGAGATGCAGGACAACTTCACAAGTTTGGGCCTGACTCTATTCCTGGCGTTTTCGCGGGATATCACATTGGTCCTGGGATGCATTGGTCGAGACGACAATACAAAGTATGGCCATTAAGTGAGTTTGTACATCAAAACCTTGGTGATGATGCTAGCAAACCAGAACATCGTCTTCTCAAACCTCATTTGACTGAAAAGGTCGAAATGGTTACTCCACTGACATTCCCGTGCAAGAAAGAGCACGAAAGGGTAAACACCACCTTGGAAGGAATGAAAGAGAAAGAGGTCCTCGATGGTGATCCTTCCAGGACACCTCGTGGTGATGACGGAGACCGTGATCATGATGAAGACGATAATGAGCTTGATGACGGAGACGAAGGTGGACCTGGCCCTAGTGGTGGAAAAGTTTCAAAGAAGCCTCTTGAAGACTCAGAGGGTATCTTCGATGATGACAAAGATCCAGAAGAAATGACTCTCCAAGAACTCATTGATGTCCAACCAGAACATTGGAAGTCAGGCAAAGCTGGAGATGGGAAGGTATACCTCAACGATGACGGTGAGAAGGTCAAATTGAATATCAAGGGCATCCCATACAAGATTGGAGAGGATGGCAGAAGACTCTTCAGGACGTCGTTACGACCCAAAGGGACCTATTCTCCTGAAGAATGGCGCAAGCTCTCTCAATCTGACCGGAACACCATCCTCAAAGCCGAGAAGAAGAAGTTGGAGAAGAAAGAGGCTGATGATAAGGCCAAAAGAAAAGTTGAAGAGAAGAAGAAGAAAGCACTGAAGAAGGAGAAGAAAGATTCAAAGAAAGACAAAGACGAGCCAAAGTCCAAGGATGATGAGGAAGATGATGAGAGTAAGAAAGATGATCTGTATTCAAAGTCGAAGAAATCCGATGCAGGTGTTGGTGAAGTATTGAAGAACAAGGTCACTTTGCCTATCACATGTACAAGTACTTATCTTGACCTGTACGACATAGTCGATGATGACGATGTCCATGGAAAACGTTACATTGATTGTAGGAAAATGAGGAGGAACGTTGACGCAAGCCCATGTTCCGATGCTTCTACTGACGTCCCGGACGACGAGGAATATCTAATCGAATGGGATGAGTGGTCGGAGGTCGAGAAAGGGCGTGGTCCAAAAGCATCGTGGAGTGGTGAAGTTTGGAACACTTTGTCTGGTGTGATTTCGAGATCCTCCGCGGCATCGCCGGGCGAATCGACAATGATCAAGAATGGCAAGTGTGTCAACGTCAAAGACATGAAGAACGTAACCACTGACGATGACGATGACCTCATTGCGTTCCCAACTATGCCATGTACATCTGCATCCAACCACATTCATCGAACCAAAATACCACCCGAAGGCCTGGGGAGTAAGCTCTTCAATGCTATGGTATCGCGTCCTGTTGGCAGAGCTGAAATCGAATCCAACCCCAAAGCTAAAGAAGCTATGCTGAAGGAATGGAAAGGTCTTCGAGATCAAGAAGTATTCGACTTCACAATGGTTCGTGAGTATGACGATGTTGTTGCGGAGGCCAAGAAGGACAAGAAAGAAGTTCACATGGCTAGAGTTCATGGTATTTGTGTTGAAAAGAACTATCAACTATCCGAAGATAACCCCGGTCGAAAGTTCAAAGGGAGGGGTGTTCTGCTGGGCAACCAAGTGAAGAATCAACATTGGGAAGCAGCGTTCTTTCAAGATTTGGGGAACTCACCTGCATCCTTTGAAGCCTCACGATGGGCCGATTTCTATGGATGTCTTCCCGGACATGCAGTCAAGCTTGCAGATGCGATTCAAGCGTACATCCAGGCCAAGCTGAAAGGACCTTTGTGTTGGGTGGAATTACCCACCGATGCATGGCCTCCTGAAGTTCAATACTGGAAGGTTCGTCGTCCTGTAGTAAGACTTGATAAAGCATTGTACGGACATCCTGACTCAGGCACGATGTGGGAACAACATTGTGACAAAAGGGTACAAGAGATTGGTTTGGAGAGGAGTGGCCTTCAATGTATTTTCATGATGAGCTCAAATTGCTATTGGTAATCTATGTAGATGATCTTAAGCTTGCTGGGCCATCCGAAAATCTGGCCAAAGGTTGGGAAATGCTACGCACTGTTTTGCGTATTGAACCTGAAACTGATCTGGGTCTTTACTTAGGGTGTATTTTGTCCCAAGGTGAAACCCAATCGCATAATGGTAAGAAAGTCAAGACCATAACCTATAACATGGAAGGATTATTGAAGTTATCGGTGGAAAAGTATCTTGACATTATCGGTAAGGACACAAAATTGAAAAAGGTATCAACTCCAAGCCTTCCAGAGGAAACGAAAAGCAGCCCGTATCGAGCTCCTTCCGATGGCAAGCGCAAAGTTGAGTGTCCTTGGTGTGCACACTCCTTCGATCCGGAGATGCCTGTTCTCCACGAGACAGGCAGCTCACGTCCTGGCCAAGACAGTGAGTCACTGAACCGAGGGAATCTAGCTCCGCATGCAGCTGGTGTGCTTATGAAGCTGCTGTATGCAGCCCGCATAGCGCGGTTTGACCTTTTGAGATCCATCAATGCATTGGCACGTAATGTGACCAAATGGACAAAGGATGATGATGCTCGTGTTCATCACCTAATGCGTTATGTTTATTCCACATTGTCCCTTAAAATGATAGGATGGGTCGGAGATAAAATTGAGGATTTGTCGTTAGGACTCTTTGCAGATGCGGATTTCGCTGGATGTGCTCAATCCTTATGATCAACATCAGGATCGCACTTACAAGTCCAAGGTAAGT